ACATCTTTCAGGATGAGTTCTTTCTTGGCCTTCATACAGCCCAGACTTGAACCCTATTGAAAATATATAGGCTGTATTAAAGGGAAAGGTAGAGAAAAAGATCAAGTATTTAGTAGCAAAAAAAAAACATTACCTGCAATGTATTTCTTAATACAATCCGGCAGGAATGGGACGATCTTGATGATGCCATGTTACTTCAGTGCATCGAGAGCATGCCAAGCCAGGTATTAATGCTGAAGGAGAACACACCAAATATTAATAAATCGTATAAAAGTTGTCATTAATATTGTTCTTATAAATAATAAAAAAAATATACATTAAAATAAAGTTTGTATATACCGTCAAAATATGTTTCCGCCATTCTTTTCGCCAGGGACTGTAGTTATTTAAATTCTGAATTAATGCCAAAAAATGCTGATTTGAGGCCAATTTTAGGCTGATTTATGGTTATATAAATTCTGAATTGATGCCGAATGATGCTGAATTGAGATTAATTTTAGGCTGATTTATGATTATTTAAGTTGTGAATTGATGCCAAATGATGCTGTATTGAGGTCAATTTTAGGCTGATTTATAGTTATTTAAATTCTGAATTGATGCCAAAAGATGCTGAATTGAGGCTAATTTTAGGCTGATTTATCGTTATATAAATTCTGAATTGATGCCAAATGATGCTGAATTGAGATCAATTTTAGGCTGATTTATGGTATTTAAGTTCTGAATTGATGCTAAATGATGCTGTATTGAGATCAATTTTAAGCTGATTTATGTTATTTAAGTTTCGAATTAATGCTGAATGATGCTGAATTAAAGTTAATTTTAGGCTGATTTATGGTTGAATTTAATCTGAATGGCTATGTCTGATTGGAGTTGATCAATGTCTATCAGCATATAATTATTGCTGAATTGAGGCTAATTTTAGGCTGATTTATGGTTAAATTTAAGTTTTGAATTGATGCTGAATAGTCATGTCTGATTGGAATTGATCGGTGTCTATTGGCATCTGTTTGTGCTGATTGAAAAATATGGCAAATCAGCCATAAATAGTATCAAAATCAGCCTAAAATCAGCCATCTGATTTTTAGCTGATTTGGATTATTTTGACTAGTATTATGACATATTTTTTTTAGATCAGCTTTTGAAGACTATGTATTTATTATCTAATAAAGATTTTGAGATTCTCTTTAATAGTTTAAAATATAAAATTGCAAAAGCCTTAAAGCATTTTCAAAAATAATTTTCATTATGGCTTTATTTACCATTAACAGTTTATTAACTTGAAGAGAATAATACACAATAATTTACATTTAGCTTTTATCATGTTATTTTTAAAAAACCTTAGATCTCTTCACCTTCTAATTTAGAATTATGATTTGCTTAGAATTTAAAGGATGATAAAAATAATAAAATTACAGATGACTTTAATTTAAATGAATTGTTATATTAAAATAGCAATTTTCTTGAAAAATTTACTCAATTCTGCATTTGTAATAGTTTATTATTATATTATTTTTCTAATATTTATAATTTTGTTAAAAAGTTATATTTATTATATTGTTATATATTAATAGTAAGTTGAAGATCTTTTTAATAAACTAGATCTGAAAACACATGCAAATATGTTATCATTAATGAAATAGTCTAAGCTTTATTTATTATCAAATAAAATCTTAAAAGAGGATTGGTTAACAGATTAAAAAAAGTGCAAAAACAAAGTGTTAAAACAAGAAAAACTCTACTTCAAAAAGTAATCTAAATCTGATATTACATCAAAAATTTTAAATAAATAATTTACTAATAATTAAACTGTAATTTATATTAAATTAATACTTTTTTGTCAGAATTCTTATTAGTAATTTTTAGAAAATAAATTCAATTTTCAGATACAATTATTTATTATATTACTATTATATTAATAGTTAATACAAAAAAAAATTTAATAGTAAAATTTACTATAGGACTTGATATAATTTTGTTAAAATATATTAATAACATATTCCATTATTATACATAGATTATTTTTATATTAAAAAATTTTGTATAACTATAATTAAGTTATTTTACTCTATAGTTAACTATCACAAAATATTACACTTAAATTGATAAATTATCATGTGTTTAATTAATTCTAAATATTAGCAAAAAAGTTAGATAAACTATCACTGTTATATTTTCCCTTTAAATAATTACTTTTTTTATATTTACACTATAAGTCAAGAATTTACAGAATTAATATCATATGATATTCTAATTAAATAATTAAAGAAATATTTAAGGTTATAATAGATAAATATTTAACTGAAAATTAAATTATAAAATACAGATAAACTATTAACTGATAGATAAATTATTTATTAAAAAAAAGAATAAATTACTTATCGAAGGAAAAGAATAAATTATTTACTGAATGTTAAACAACTTTCAAATAAAGATAATAAAAAAAAAAATCTTAAAAAGAAAATATAATATCATAATTATATCATATAGTTGATGGAAATAATAAAATATTAAATAAGAAATAACAGAATTAATGAAATAATTAAATTAGAAATAATAGAATATATAGATAAATTAAATTAGAAATATCAGAAATATTAGAAAACTATAAATAAAAAATAAGAATAATTATTGAAAACTTAAAAAAGATTTTATGGAAATTACAGAAAGGAAAATTAGAAAATAACAGAAATATTAAAAGGAAAAATAGGAAATTACAGAAATTATAAAAATAGAAAATTAGAAAATTATAGAAATAGAAAAATAAGAAATCATAGGATTTACAGAAATGATCTATATTAATTTATATAAATAGAATAGAATTTCTCTACATTATTACAGGTATAATGATTCACTATATGGTTATAATATAAATGTACAATGGTATCCTAACATCTGTTCTATTCAAATCACATCTTGTTAATGCAAAATTTTAGCTCTAGCATTTATAGATGACACTCTGTAGGTCACTAAATTCAGACAAGACCTATTAAACATTATCTCAAATGTTAACAGTTTTTTTGTTTTTAACAATATTCAAGTGAACTGGTCAAAATCAGAGCTCCTAGTCAACACTCCATAATCAAGACCATTTGTTATTCAATATAATTAACATACTTATAAAATTACACTGTATCTTACTGATAATTTAAAATATATTTGTTCAAGTTTTATGATATCATTAGGATTCATTCCAATTAGTCAAGTTAAAATATCATTTATATTATTAACAATTCTTCTTGTAAATTGTTTACATTTTCTACAGCATTTGCTTAGTAGTTAAGAGAAACTCTACCATATATTGGTTTTTAAAAACCTTCTAAAAAAATGTCTGACATAATTGTCAAGAATAGCCAAACTTCTGTGTCTAAAATGAGTATTAATTTTTCAAATTTTAATATTATATTTATCCATCAATAATGTTATACTTCCCATAAACTCACAATTCTCATCACATTAGGATTTATAAGGTCAGGTAAATAGATTATTAGAATTATCATATATACACTTAAAAGCTTCTGCAATTTCTTCACTGCTTTTTGATATTAAAAAAATGAAATCTTTATACCTTATTACACAGTTAACAACTAATAGTACATAGTAAAATACTGTATCATCATTTGGCAAATTTGTATCTCCATCTTCATCATATGGTATCTCAATCAAATCCTATTGATGTATAGTATTTAGCTTTATAATTTTTGAATAGCTTATATAAGAAATATATCTAGGTGAAAGTTAAAAGATTTAATATATTGCTTGATTATCAAGCTATTTTTTTACATTAATAAATAAAAAATTATATCTGTCCTTTTTACAAGCATCTCACAATTCTTTAATATTTTGATAAAGGCCTTCAGGATGATAATATAGCTTCTATAAAGCAAAATATCAGTCTAGATCATAAGCTTTCTGAAAATCAATAAAAATTGTAAGCTTTTATTTTATAATAACCTGATCTAACTCCCGCACTTTTTGAGAATTAATATAAATAACTAGTTCTCCTTGTATCTCTATGATTTGTAAATATGTACAACTTATCTAATAAAATATACTGCTTATTTAATATGATCCTTTTTTTAAAAGAAAAAATTGCACTAAAAGAAATATCTGATGAACAATATGTTATAAATTTATACTAATAAGTAATTATATATTTACTTATTATCTAAATTGACTGATATATTTCTATTATAAAAAAAATCAGAATAAAAAATCTATCATTTATTTATCATAGATTAAGATCTGTAAAAACTATAGATAATAAATCACTCATGCTGAATTACATACTGCTAATTCCTATAAATGTTAGTAAAATAATAAAAATATACTGTTTATCTGAAAATCTGTAAATTATAGATTCTAATCACTCTATTTTTATTTTGAATTTCTTTTTAATGATACCTTGTTTTATGATTCATGAGAAATATATTTTTTATTAATAATTTAAAACTACATAATGAAAAATTTACTAGAATTTTTAAGTAAAAATATAAAAGTTTACACACTTTTTTTTGGTCAAAATTTATTAATAAATCCTTTACAAATAAAATGTCTGCTGTTCATATAATAAATAGTGTAGTTATTTACATACTTAATATAAATGATGTACTTACTGCGCATGATATTTAAAAAAAAAATATAATTTCAGCAAGAATTTCCTTCATGCTTCGCGCTTTTGATATTGTATTGCTATATATTTTCAGGTGATAGATCTACTAAATATAGCATAAGACTATCAACGATAATTTTGATTCTACTAGCAGATACAAAGTTTTACATAACTCAACATTTATGATATTATTTATAGAGAAGAAATTTTAAAATATAAATTAAAAGTAAGTATATCTTAGTAAATATCTCTCTAGATATGGAACAAAACTTATTAATTGATTCTGATCTTAGTATTAGTAAAAATTTAGATGGATGATATGACAAGATTAAGATAGGTAATGATAATGCCAATGATGAATTTAAGATAAATGATGATACTAATGATAACGATGAATTTTGGACAGTTGATTATAATATCAAAGATGATGATGATTGGTAAGATCTTAGTAAACCATATACCGAATATGATTATATAGGATAAATTTCTTTAAATCAGTTAGTTCATCATTGTAATATTGTACTTAGAGAATTCATCAGATATCTTCTGAACAGGTAAAGGATGAATTCTTTGATGCATTTTCTAAATCTGATGCATTTAAAGAAATAGATCACAATACGCTTTTGGAAGCATTAGCTAATCCTAAAAAGATTGAAATTTTTATGAGTAGCATGAGTATTATTACACATTTTGATCTTCAAATACTAAGACAAAAATAATGTAATATGGGTCATTGCATTACTTTACTCTAGCAAGTTTTTTTTTGTGGGTTGCTATTGATGCGTTGCCTCAATAATTTAAGTTCTGATGACACAATAATTTTATACAAGAGTAGAATTATTCAATATTCTAAAGAAAAAAATTTTATTAATGCATGCGAAAAAATAAATTTAAAGCTTAGAATTAGCTCATAATATATGATAAATTTTCTATGCTATTATACATATAAAGTGCCTTATGGCTGATTATTACTTGATATATTTTTTCATTCTAGCTCTCTTACTATCAGAAGAGTCATCACCCTCTATATATACATAAATAAATAAAAGTGCTAAAGAAAAAATTTAGTAATAAGATAGATAAATTTTTTTTTGATTTAAGTTATATATCTAAGTTGTGTATCAGTAATAACTTTGATATCCAATATCATAAATAATTCTATTGATTTGAATGGCTAGTTCTTAGATATGATAAAATTTAGCTTCTAATAATAATTCTTCAAGTAATAACTTGTTACGTAGAGTTCTTTTTGACAAGTCATCTGTTTTCATAAATTCAAGAACATATTTAAATAACTCACTATTTCAGTCAATAAAAATGTTTCGATTATGATTAAAATCATTAAAAGGCTCTGAAAAGAATTTTATTTTTTTTAAAAGTGTTCTTTTTATAGTAATATAAAGTATTTCACCAACATTAAGGGTAATAAGTATGGTAATATAGTTAGTTATTTTGATGTAAAGTTAAAGCTTTATTATAGTAATACAATAAACAAAGTCAATTTACTATAAATCAGTTGAATTATTGATATAAAAATAAATTATGTTACCTCAATTTTGTATACCATATATTCATTGCTTCTGATCATTTTGAAAGGTAGAAAATAAATCTTTGTTTCATCAGAAAAAGCAAATTCTTGTCCTTAAACATGTTAGTAAAAAATCCTGGTATCATTCTCAGTTTTAAAATGTGCATGTCCATATAGATTATTTAGTATTTTGAAGACATGAAATACATCTACTGAAAATTTGGTTAAAATGAAATCTTTTATCTCTTAACTGCTTTTGCTAGTTAATTGACCTCCTATGAATACAGAATTGCTTAGAGAGTAACAAAGAGTTATATTTTATTTCTTGAGGTCTAAATATAAGATAAAAAAATAAAAGTATAAGAAATATAATCATAATACAAAAATGTAAAGTATGAATATAAGCATAAGCGTGAGTATAAGCATATGAATGTGAGCATTAGCATATGAGTATAAATGTGAGCATAAATATATGAGCATGATCGTAAATATGAACGTAAGTATGAGTACTCTCAAGAATCTATTTCTATATTTGTTACGAAGGGAGATACATAACTAATTCCTCTTTCAGAATCAGTAGACTTTCAACATAGTAATTTCTTTCAAGGTTTCCTGAAAAGATTTATGACATAAAAACATTTTTTCACTTACCTCCTTCCATAATATATTCTGTATATGATACATGTAAAAAAGATTTTTCTGAATTAAGAGAAGACAAAACAATCCAATATTTCAAAAAAAAAAAATTTCAAATTTTTGAAAGGAAGAGATGGGAAGTATATACTATATATATGAAAATAGGGTTGCATCACTTAAGTTATTCAAAAGACATATTTTATTTTAGTATTATACTAGTATTACTATATAATCTATCATAATATAGTAGTTATAGTATATACGATACTTAAAGACTGAAATCACGTGATTATTCATTTTTCAGTTTAAAAATCATATGACTATTATAATACACATCACGTGATCAATGTAAATCATATGATAATATTTTATATGTACTAAATGAAATAGCAATAAAGATGATAAATTTCAATGATTAAGTTTAATATACAACTTATTAGATAAATTTAATTAATTAAGTTTAACATATGATTTATTGATAAATTTGATTTAATGTATATATGTTACAGAATTTATTAATTTTATTACCCTTTCTCACAACCTTTTCTTTTATAAATGCAATTAAATCATCTTATGAAAACTGCCTATGAGATTTAAATTTTTTACATATATATTTAGCTAACTTTCTGTTAATCTTTTGTGATATAATTGCATGTATCTTTATGATTTTCAGTCAAACTTCTTAATTGTAATAATATTTATTGAATCAAGTGCTTGCAAAACAGTTTTTTGTAAGTTACTCTATGTGTAATCATAATGATCTCTTGCATAATGCTTGGTCGCATCTCTGTACATTTAAATAAGATTAAGTTCACAATGGAACTTCAGATAGAAAATATATAAATAACTTGCATTCTCAATCAATTCTACAATAACTGACTTTTACATTACAAAATTTGGTTGAGATATTATAATCTTCCTTGTATAATAATTAACTCTTAGAGATTCTTTTTTCTTGTATATTAAATACTCTAAGTTTAATCCTTCCTTTCATAAACCTCTTTCTTATAATATTCTTTTTATTCCTTTTAGTTTTTTTCATAAGATAGAATTAGAATAATCTTTTGAAAACACCATTTGCTAAATTATTTCCTGTTTATTTTTATCAATAAAAGAAGTTAATCTTATGATTAGTTGTCTCAAATTCATTCTTACTGTAACAAGAGCATTTTTGGCATATGCTACATAGTTCATATTATTATCAAAAGCAAAAATAACTGTTGCATTAGAAAATTTTACCTCAAAAATAGAAATTGCTTTAAATTTAATCTGTTTTAACAAATATTAAAAGGTCTAGTAACCTTACCAGGTAAAAGATAACAACAAGCTTTTATAGGAATATCCAGATTCCTTTCTATCTCTTCTTCACTAAGTTTCAATTAATTACAAGTCTCTGAAAGAAATTTGTTCACTATAATTAATCTTCTGTTTCCTTTTTTTGCAATGGAATTTTATTATCATTTACTCAAATTCTTTTTTTCTATCATTTGCATAGAATATACACTTATTATAAGTAACAAGAATCAATTCTCATTCATTTGATTTAAGTACTGGTAAAATTACTTCCATTTCCTTTCCTCATATCTAACTATTTATTATTCCAATCCTTTCATTATTTTTAAATAATGTTTATTAAAATAGATATCCTTTCGATATCCTTCAAACTAATATCCTAAGATATACAACTATCTTTTAGCAGATTGTTTTCTAAATTCCTATACATTTAAGCAAAATAAAATCCTCAATATACTGCTTAAAATAAATTACGTCAATATCATTTGAACCTAATTCTTTTCATAACCATTGTTGTAAACTCAATGCAATATCTTCATCATCAATAAGTTGATGATATTTTTGATGCTTTTTATAACATAAAACTGAAAATTATTAGTAATTTAAGTAAAATTTGATCATAATATGAATCCATTTAGCGATATATAGCTTTGAAATAATATAAACTATTTGCATCACTTTTTCATTAGCTTTATTTTCCTATTATTATCATTTATCTGTATAAGATATTCATAAATAGCATACCATCTGTTATATTCAAAAACTGTTAGTATTTTTTCATTCTTAATAAGATCATCTTGAAGTTGTGCAATTTTTCACAAAGCATTGAATTTTTATCTGTTTTTGACAAAGATTCAGGTAGTGTAAGTGATACCAATGATAAAAAAGAAGATAGTAATGAAGATAAAAAAGAAGATGATGATAGAAAAAAAATGATAGTAATGAAAATAAAAAAGAAGATGGTAATAGAAAAGGAAATAATGATAGTGACAGAGACGGAAAAGAAGATGATGATAGAAAAGGAAATGATAATGGTGATGGTAATTGTGATAGAAATAGTAATAAAAATGAAATAAAAGAACTTCCAGTAAATTCACTTTAGTAGGAGTCTGTAAAATGATGATATATTAAGAGAATAATCATATATCATTTTAATTGAATGATAATGTATCATTTAAAAAGAAAAATAAATTATCATTTTTCTTGAATATACTATCATTTAATTAGAATAATTTTACTGAATTTTTAGGTCAAACAGGTCAGATTAGAATAGAATTATTTGTTATGATCTGAACTAAAAAAATATCAAATTAGATTAACCAAATAAATTAAACTATTTAAAGCTCTAATCCTAAATTATTATAATTTTAGATGCACTTACTATAGATTTTTATGTGATTATATATGTTATTAGGAAAGGGCCAGAAATCACGTGATTAAATGCTAATATAAGGTTCAACCTCCTTCTCCTCTCATGATCTGATACTAATAGATTGATAATCTTTTTTTTTTTAAAAAAAATTTTTTGTACAGACTTCTCTTTCTTACTCTTTTTATTTATAAAATAACAAAATGGTATGTATTTCTTTTATTTATTTTGATCCAGAAGCTATTATTCATCTTTACTAACAAATTTATAAAAAATTTATTTAGGAACTCATAATTTTCTAATTGTCACATTCCTTAGTTTTTATTTATAAAAAAAAAAATTTCTCTGTGTCAAAAGCAATTTAGTATGATAGTTTTTTGATAATAATAAACAAATATTTTTTGTTAGTTGTCTATCCTTTTGTTTATTTCATTTCATATATTTTATGAATATTAAAGTATGCAACCTTTTTTAACAAGTCTGAAGTTTTAAAAAAAATATCTTTACAAAAATCCAACACATCTATATCATGAGTTTTGTAATGCATGAGTGTATCAAAAAATGATCAAACTTTTGAATCTAACACTACCAAAACAACAACTATTAGAGCAAGCAAATGCTATGTAGGCTAAAATAAAATTAAACAATATAGATGAAATTAAAAATACTATCACAAGTTTTTTAGCTACTTCAATTTCATTAACAAAATATGGATTTCAAACTTTAAATTTCAGAAACTTTAGACCAGTTCATTATGTTAAACAAAAGTCTATACAAATTTGTTCTGAATTTAATAAGGAAAATTAAGCATTGCCAAATGCAATAGCACAATAACATGCTATTAATGAAAGAGAATGTGTACAAAAAAAATTAGTAGAATATAATACTATGCT